GCCCTTTATTTGGCATTAAACAGCACAGTTAATGAGACAGAAAGGGGAGGGGAAAACTCAGTGTCTTCTTTAATGCATTCTCCCTGGCATGATGAAATTCCAGTGCTTGACTTACTAAATCAACATTAGCTGCAGCCTTAAAAATATATAGACACAGAGATATAAATTGAAACACAGCTTGTGTGAACCTCCATGAGTCACAGGGAGTATGCAAACCTGAATTCAAAATCACACACAGATGGCACATCAAGGCCTCAGTGCAGATACTTCAATCACAGTTGATAAACTTTCAGTCCCAGTGGTGCTAAACTGGGCTGGGTTTTTCCCTTTGGAAAGGCAGGCTAGGAGAAAGGGGGAAAGAGCTGGGACAAAAGGAGGAAGGAGAGAGAGTGATGGAAAGAGGAAGCTGCAGGAAGGGAGGTGCAAAACTGAGGAGCAGCTGAGTCCTTAAGCAGGGAGGGGAGAATGCGGGATGGAGGGGCGAGGGGAGAAGGAGCCACGAGAAGGGAAGCCACAGGAGGGAAAGCCTGTGACAGGGAGGGAGTGGAGGGTGAGAAGGGTGGAGAAATGAAGGAACTAAGGGAGATGCACAGCCAGGCCAGTACAGGTTCCAACCTCTCATTCCAACCAGGATGCCAACTTGCACAACCTGCAGGGTCCCTCCAAGGGGCATGAGGCCCAGACCCTGCAAGGCCCAGTACTACTTCTCCTCTGCCCACTCGTCCATGCCTTTTCCCCTTCAGCCTGAGGCAGAACAATTAAACTCCTAGGCTGTGTCTAGACTGGCAAGTTTTTCCGCAAAATCAGCTGCTTTTGTGGAAAAACTTGCCAGCTGTCCACACTGGCCGCTTGAATTTCCACAAGAACACTGACTTCCTACTGTCTGAAATCAGTGCTTCTTGCGGAAATACTGTGCTGCTCCCGTTCAGGCAAAAGTCCCTTTTGCGCAAAGCTTTTGCGCCAAAGGGCCAGTGTAGACAGCTCAGATTTGTTTTGCACAAAAAAGCCCCGATCACGAAAATGGCGATCGGGGCTTTTTTTCGGAAAAGTGTGTCTAGATTGGCATGGACGCTTTTCCACAAAAAGTGCTTTTGCGAAAAAGCGTCCGTGCCAAACTAGGCGCACTTTTCCGTTAAAAGCATTTGCGGATAATCATGCCAGTCTAGACGTAGCCCTACATGTGCAAATGGGCCCATGGCTCCACTCTACTGCCTATTCATGGAATCCCGGGCCTTGAAGAGACCTCAGGAGTCATTGAGTCCAGCTCCCTGCCCAAGGCAAGACCAACCCAACTCAATCATCCCAGCCAGGGCTTTGTCAAGCCGGGATTAAAAACCTCTAGGGATGGAGATTTCACCCCCTCCTTAGGTAGCCCATTCCAGTTGCCCTCCACTGGACCTTCTCCAATGCGTCCACATCCTTTCTGTAGAGGGGGGCCCAGAACTGGACACAATACTCCAGATGTGGCCTCACCAGAGCCGAATAAAGGGAAATAATCACTTCTCTAGATCTGCTGGCAATGCTCCTCCTAATGCACCCTAATATGCCTAATGGCTGCTGTTAAAGTAAACCCAAGAGGAAGAGCTCTGCAGTTAAGGGTGTGATGTCCTGCTGGCCTGACACGGTTATTCTGTGCCTGTCAAGGAGTGGTGGGGCCACAGCTGTTTTAAGCCATCTTCATGCCATCGGCCTCTCCAGCCACTGGTGTAATTCAGGGCAGGTTTACACTGCCCTTCGTCCCCGGTGCCCTATTGCACAGGAACACTGCGATGAGCGCCTCTCCTATCCCTTCTCTGCTCCCAGCATAACCCATCCTCGGGGGCTAACACAGAGCTGCTCCCGTCAGCCCCGAGCCGCCTTACTCCAGGGGGGTTCTGTGGGTCTGTTCCTGCCCTTCTGTCTCTGTGATGCTATCAGGCTCCAGAAGCAAATGATGGATGGTTAGAAGGACAGAATGTGGAAAGTGAGCCAGTCAGCAGGCTCAGTGCACTAGCAAAGCCAGGAGCAATGGCTCTCCATGACCTCAGCCTGGGGAAGCCCTGGTCTGGGTCCAACAAAGAGCAAAGATTACAGCAGCGGTGAGGAGCCAGAGGGAGCGGCTGGGGGGTGGCCAGTGGGAGCAGCACGTAGTTGGCATTGCCACATGCTCGACCAGGGGAGACCTCATGATGATGGACCTATCAGCTCTGGGCCTGCACTGCCTGGACAACTCTGTGAGTGGGGTGTTTGAAGTGGGGGCGGGGGGCACACTACGTGAGTTAGAGGTTGGACTAAAGATCCTTAAGCAAAAGACTCTTCCCTGCTGACTCCAGGGATGGTACCTTGCTTATGGGTTTTCTTTAATTATGTGTGTTTCTGTAGGGTGATGCTATTTCACTGTTATTAAACAAACCGTTTCTGTCTCTGACTCAGTGCTTGCGAGAGGGGAAGAGTTGCCTCTACAGGTGCCCAGTGGGTAGGTTGGAATTTTCCCAGTTTACTGGGTGGGGGCTCAAGCCAGTTTGGTTACATTATTGAAAGAACCCCCCTAGATACAGACCCTGGCCCTTCTGGCTGCCAGCTGCTACCAGCTCACTCACCCCAATACCCCACTCTTGGCTCTGTCCAGTCAGTGCAGACTCAGAGTTCATAGGTACATCATCAGGACATCTACCCTCGTTGTGCATGTGGTAATGCCACCTATGTGCTGCTCCTGCCGGTTGCCTGCCGCCTCTTCCGCTGGCTGCTGTCTTCTTGTCGCCGTCTCGCCGCTGCTCCCACTGACCATCCCACCAGCAGCCTGCCTGCTGCCTTCACTGGCTGCCTGCTGGCCTTGTGATGGATTTGGCTCTGGGCCAAAGCTAATGATTTCAGCGTCTCAGTGATTTCAGCTCTCAGTCCACAACACAGTCTGGTCAAAAGATTCCAGCACCTACTGGAATAAAATTTTAAAATAATAAAGCAACTCCTTATGGAGTCTGTTTTAGTTCTATCATTAGAATGGTGGGGGATGGGGGAGAAAGAGAAACAGGTTGAACCAGTCTTACAGCTCACATCTGGAGGGCATGCAGCCTGCTGGTTCAGAGCTC